TGGGTAGGAGGGGTGCGGGGGGATGGGCGAGTGAGGCGGCACCATCGGGGGCGGCCCGTGGTGCTGCGGAGGAGGAGGGTGCCCGTGATGTATGGGGTAGGGGCCCATGCCCGAAGGCGGAGGGGGCCGTTGCAGGAGCTGTGGGTGGTGGTGGTGGCTGAAGATAAAGTGCTTTGGGGCCTGCGGCCTGTGCAGGGTGTGTTGCCCGGGGGGCCCCGGCTGATGCAGCTGCTGGGGGTAGGTGTGGGCGAGGGCGTGCTGGGGGGCCGGGCTGTAGAGGGGCAATGGCGAGATGGGCTGGCGCCCGTGGGGGAAAGGCGGGTGCTGGGGGGCGGCCGTGGCCATCTGGTGGGCCCGCTTCTGCTGGCTGGGGCGGCCCAGGGTGTAGTGGTGATGGGGCTGGGGGGTGGGGAAGGCCGGGACGGCCGGCTTCTGCGGTGGGGCCGAGAGCGGGGGCTGCTGGGAGTAGTGGAAGCGCTGCGCCTGAGGAGGCAAGGGGTTCGACGGCATGGGCAGGGAGGGGTGGCTGTGGTGGGGGTGGTGCGGGGGGAGGTGGTGGTGGGAGGACGAGGCGGAGGAGGAGGAGGCCGAGGCCTGGCCGGGGGGCATCTGGAAGGGCCCCTTCCCACGCTTGCTGCCAAAGAGGGATCCCAGGAAGGACGAGGAGTTGGAGGGGGGCCGGGGCTTGTACTCCTCGGGAGGAGGCGGCGGCGGCGGGGGCACTCTCTGGTGGGGCCGTGGGCTGCTAATAATAGACCCCTGGAAGGAATGGCAAAGACCGGGGGCGGGGATGGGGGGGGGAAGAGGGGAGAAAAAGAGAGAAGAAGACAAGACAGACAGACAGAAAGAGAGAGGTTGGGGCGTCAGACCGTTGGCTTTGCCAAAACCACCCTCTCTGTGTGGATTCAGGACGGCCCTAAAAGGTCTCGGAGGCTGAGGAGGACGGCTGTTTCTCTCCTGGCCTCCGCTCAGAAGCAAGGCATGCTGGGAAAATCTGACCCGCGTTCCCCTCGTGGGGGAGGCCGAAGCCACCTCCCTCGGATGCCACGAGCGGAGGTGGAGGTGGGGAGAGGAGGCGGACAGACGAGCAAAGAAAGAACGGACAGGCTCGCGAGGCAGAGAGTAAGAGGAAGGGGCGGGGGGGGGACCCCCTTCCCCATGCATCCCTCCCGCCCCGATCCTCCCGCGCCTGGCTTCTTTGCCACCAGCCCACTTACTTCAATGGTGCTGTCCAAGGATCCCACGCTGTTACGGCGGCCCCGCTTGCCTGCAACAGAGCGGGGGTTAGCGAGACCTGGATCCCACCCACCCCCGCCCTTCGGAGCGGCCCTCGAGCTCGGACAGGGGGAGACCCTCGACCAAGAGGGGGCGGCCTCTCTGCCCCGTCCCACCCCCAAGGTACAGCAGCAGAGCAGAGGCAAAGTTAACAGAGGACAGAGGGGAAATAGCAGAGCGTGTGTCTCGCCCCTGTTCTTCTCCCGTGTGACGCGGTGTGCGGGTGTTATGTTAGGTATGGAGCAGAACTGCAAACCAGCTGGAGAAAGAGCATGCATT